ATGTTAGCAACCAGTTCCCATTGGAGATAGGGAAGCTGTACATCTGGTGAAGCTGTACATCTGGTGAAGCTGTACATCTGTTGCTTGTGCTCATTCACGCAGGGACGCTACATGCACTCTGGTGGATTTCCGGTCTCACGTCTAGCGGTCCCCGTGCCCTGTACACATATAGACGGTACGCGCATTCAATTATGCGCTGCTGCGCGCTGGTCGAATCGGATCAACAAGTGCACTGCATGCAACGGTCTGCACGTTCTGAGGGAACTGGCCCGGGTCATTAGACTAGATTTCCATGTGCGAGCGTTCAAATAATGGTCTTGCAACGCGCAGCCTTGTATCACACACTCTTAAGTTGCCCATGCTCAGAACTGCCTTTGCCCGTCATGGCGCTTCCTTCCAATGTGCTAAGCTGTGGAATGATTTGCACCCTCTAGCTCGCTGTGTGGATAACTCCGCCCGTTTTAAGAAACTGTTACCCCAATGCCTTGCTTTTTCACGCTAGTAATTATGACTTTCAGCTATGCAAAATGCGAACATGATCACCTATCCAATACCGGTAGTCTATTATATTAATTATTCATATCTTTTTGCATCTTTCCCTCGAGTGGGTCTATTGTTATTAGGCAATTGTCTGTTATAGTCATCACTATAAATAAAAATCCAATAAATCAATCAATCAATGTCCTTAACAGTAGGTATCAGCCTAAACTACAAAAACATCTGTTCGGTTTTGTAAAGCCACCAGCTGTATTGATCCACGCTGTTCCTATTTCGTACAATGCGCCTGCCCTGATGATTCGGTACAACCCGCTGTGCGCTACCTTACATTGTAGCAAACGCTCCTTGTGCTTCTGTGGGGCAGACTCCATATCCAATATGGTGACACTCACCATTCTTTGAGCATGTTTCGACTATGCTGTGACCCACAGTTGATTGGAAACTCGTGGCCTGGCACGCGGGAGGCATGGAGGCAGTGAATGGTATTTTCGGTCTTCGACCACTTTGTGGTGGGTTGGAACTGCTCACCTCCCACCGGTTAGGAGCTGCATCTCCAGCTTGATCCTAGAGATTGGTGGCGTTCGTGCAAAACCTGAAAATCGGTTTCCAGCGAGTATCACACACATGGTGAATTTTTCTGCAGGCGTAGCTGGGGTTAGTTGGGTTCAACGTTGCATGTATTTATCCCCTGTACCGACTGGTACATGCACTCACACAATACTGCGTTTTGAGTAGTGAAATTGTTTTGGAGCAGGATAGCTGAGAGGTTTGCAGTTATTTCTCGTGTGCTGCTGACAATGACGAGTGAGCTTAGTTTCAGCGTCTGTACGTAGCACAAGCTCCGAAACTAGGAGCAGTCATCTTTTTCCAAACTCTGCACTCACACCACCATTACCACAGCGAGGACAATTCCGGTATATAGATTGATATTGACAATAACCCTCCAGATAGCTGCTTCGCTCCTTCTGAGCTCATCAATGGAGGCATATGAGGTTGAATGAAAGAATCATATAAATAGACTGATCTTTATAGGGCTAAATTTGCGCTCATTCAGCATAGAAAGGTGACCAAAATGACAAAAGTGATAACAAGGTCAGGTGATTAGGACACGCGCTCATGGCTGGGACAGGAACATTTAGCACGTGTGAAATACTGGGGCGCAAAAAAACAGCAGTCAGTCTAACACCAGAAAAGTTAGATACTGCACGTGCCACAATAACGAAGATGCTGAGGCTGAATGTACTTGTCCCATAGTGACGTGACAGGGAACGAACGACGAATCAAACTGGCCGACTCGGCAGACCCAGAAGCCCCTGAGACAATCACGGTTCTGCCAGCCCGTCGCATACAGCCACACCAAACCGCCATACGCATTGAACACGTACACTGATGTGGCCTGCGCCTTCAGGCAGCATCTTCCGCGGCAAAACAGCCACTTGACACACGGATAGGCCAATTGGGCATTCACTCCAGTCAGAGCTGTGCTGCGTCCGATGCTGCTAAATTTTGATCTAGCTTTTGATGTTGAGGAACTATCCCGCTTGGCTGGCAATTTCACTGTCGCTTTAAGGCGCGTTCAGACTACCGTGAACCCCGTCAAACCGTGAATGCCGATAAACCGTGAAGGACATTCACACTACCGATAACAAACTAACGTCACCGTGAAGTTTTCAGCTCTCACGGCGGCACTGACAAGGGATTTTCCCTTTTTTCCCAGCGCGCATGCAGCCTGAGCACTTTTTTACTGCCGGTAAAGGTTTACTGCCGCAGCAGCCGCGGCAGTAAAACTTTCCCACCGGTAACGTGCCAGTAACGTCACGTGATCAAATCACCTTTGCGACTTTCCCAATCGGTCAATTTTTATCGGTAGTCTGAACGCGCCCTTACGGCGCATTTGAAGCTGAGAAGAAGAAGTAGCGACGACCCGGCCATTATGGAATCCAATACACCACACCACAAAGGCGGCGTGGTGTGGCTGTGTAAGATGGGCTGACAGGACAGTGATTGCCTCAGGGGCCTCTGGGTCTGCCGCGTCGGCCAGTTCGCTTCGTCATTCGTTCCCCGTCACGTCACTATGGGACAAGTACAGTCAGACGCAGTATCTTTGTTTTCGTGGTATATGCAATAACTAACTTTTCTTGTTGTTGAATGCCTGCTGTTTTTTTGCGCCCCCTTTTTCACACGTGCTACATGTTCCTGTCCCGGGCATGAGCGGGTGTAGTTATCACCTGACCTTTTTATCACTTTCGTCACTTAGGGTGTGCCACGTTTCTATGCAGAACGAGCGAAATTGGGCCAATTTAGCCCTATGAAGATCAGTCTATTCTTATTATTCTTGCATTCAACATCATATGCCTCCACTAATGAGCTCATGAGGAGCGAAACAGCTGTCTGGAGGGTAATTGTCAATATCAATCTATATACACCGGAATTGTCCTCGCTGTGGTGATGGTGCTGTGAGTGCAGAGTTTGGATCGGCCAAAAGCGCAATGTCGTTGTTTGGTGTATTGGATTCGCAGAAATTCTACAAACGAGTCGTATTGATAAACCAGAAGCAACATAAAAAACAATTACACATTTTGTTTAGACGAAATTTACTATTCGACCGTTTCCAATCACCAAACCAAACGTGCTAACCGGAGTGCACGTACAATGTACGGTAGCAGTGACGTAGACGGCAATCGTCATATTGCCAGGTGCGTGATTACCACCACAATAATTATGAATAAAGTTTTGAGTACCATTAAAAAAATCGTGGAAAAAGATGACTGCTCCTAGTTTCGGAGCTTGTGCTACGTACAGACGCTGAAACTAAGCTCACTCGCCATTGTCAGCAGCAAACGAGAAATAACGGCAAACCTCTCCGCTATCCTGCTCCAAAGCAATTTCACTACTCAAAACGCAGTATTGTGTGAGTGCATGTAGCAGTCGGTACAGGGGATAAATACATGCAACGTTGAACCCAACTAACCCCAGCTACGCCTGCAGAAAAATGCACAGTGTTCGTGATACTCGCTGGAAACCGATTTTCAGGTTTCGCAGGAACGCCACCAATCTCTAGGATCAAGCCGGAGATGCAGCTCCTAAGCGGTGGGAGGTGTGCAGTTCCAACCCACCACAAAGTGGTCAAAGACCGAAAATACCATTCACTGCCTCCCTGTCTCTCGCGTGCCAGGCCACGAGTTTCCAATCAACTGTGGGTCACAGCATGGTTAAAGCTTGGTGAGTGTCACCATATTGGATATGGAGTCTGCCCCACAGAAGCACAAGAACCGTTTGCTGCAGTGTAAGGTAGCGCACAGCGGGTTGTAACGAATCATCAGGGCAGGCGCATGGTACGAAATAGGAACAGCTTGGATCAATACAGCTGGGTGCTTTACAAAACCGAACAGATGTTTGTGTCGTCTAGGCTGATACCTAGTACCTACTGTCATGGACATGGAAATCTAGTCTAATGACCCAGACCGGTTCCCTCAGAACGTACAGACCGTTGCATGCAGTGCACATGTTGATCTGATTCGACCAGCGCGCTGCAGCGCATAATTGAATGCGTGTACCGTCTGTATGTGTACAGGGCATGGCGACCGCTAGACGTGAGACCGGAAATACACCAAAGTACATGTAGCGTCACTGCGTGAATGAGCATAAGCAACAGATGTCCAGCTTCCCTATCTCCAATGGGAGCTGGTTGCTAACATCCACGCACTATTCACCCGTCCTTCCTGAAAAAGTCCTAGAGTTGTGCGCATATAGGCAGCTGTGCACACGGGCGTGTATACGTGCGTGCGCGTGTGCGTGGGGGGGGGCGTATACGCGTCTGCATGTGTGTGTGTGTGTGTGTATGTGGGTGTGTTAGCGGTTGAGCTTTCCTCGCCCAATAGAACCATAAATGTGGACTCACTGTTCTGGTGGTGAGAAAGGGATCTCTGTGCTCGAGTTCCTGTCCAGCTCAGAGAGCGTAAGTGGCCAGGTGTGCACTTACCACCTTAACACAAATATTACTGTTGTTTACAATCTCCACTGTCCAACAGCCAGAAGCACATCAAAGACTTGATTTTATCCTTTCCCATGTTAGCTTTCACACCTTGGCACTACCTGTCTTAAGCCTTCGTGAAATACGGATCGAATCGAAGGCATCTCCAAACATTTAAAGAGAAAAGCTGTTTTGTCAACTGGCAACCGATTTGTTTCTGAAGTAGAGTTCATTTTTCTCCGGCGTACATCGGGCAAGTTCGTTTGGATGTGTAGAAATTAGGGGATACGTAGGATGAAGACGTGCTCAGCGATCGGCCAAGAACGCAATGTGGTGGTGTGGTGTATTGGATTCCATAATGGCCGGGTTGTCGCTACTTCTTCTTCTCAACTTCTGCGGAGACAATAAAATGCATAGCTGCCTTGGCCCATGGTTAGCCTGTGTGCAATTGTGTCTCTATGTGTAAAAGTGGGGAAATGCTTTTGTATGTGTGTGTGTGTATGTGTGTATGTAATACCATTAATCATTCACTACCTTCTACACATTATTGTGTCCACGAAAATCGTAAAGGAAAGACGAAGGGAATAGCGTGGTGACCATACATGTAACAAAGCAGAATTTCGTGAATATTATACATGTAATCGCGTAAGTTGAGCACAATGATGGACAGGAAAGGAACATTAAATTAAACCTGAAGCTAATAAAAGGACTCAAAAGCGGTGCACATATGCAGGGTGCTTTAAGAAATTGATATCCAATAGAAGAAACAGAATGTAGTCAAGAATACTGCGAAGTTGATTTTGATTTCAAATTCACGATGAATGAGACTTAGCACCACAGTCGGTTTTGAGAAAGGATACTTAAATTCTCTGGGTGATGTTTAAGTGCAGGTGAAATATTTGAAGTTTTTCTTAATTCCAGCTCGGAATGTAGTCTGAAATGATACTAAGGGTGACACACCATCCATGGTTTATGATAGGAGTGAGGGTTACTTTCCGAAGAAAAAAGAGATGTACGGAACTGACTGGATGATCGTGACATTATTCATCAATGATGCACAAGGACGTGATTTTGAATACTGGAAACTACAGATAACATTGGATAAAGAGTCATACACTATGATAGCTCAGACACATGCTCATAAACACATTCGTTTTGAACAGCAGGTACATCCACCGTGCCGTATGCACTGTTATCAATCAGTTCAACGGCAGCAGGCGGAGGAAATGGGTTAGTAGATTCTTTGGTAATCTTTAGCGTGCGTTCTGTCTTTACCCGCATCCAAACCACAAACATTGCTACAGCAGTTGCAAATCCCACGACAATTCCTGCCGCAGCTCCCACGAGATACGGCTCGAACATTTTCTGCGGAGTTCCACTGTTGGCATCAGGTGTGCCATTGACGGTGACGTCTCCAAAGCCTGTGTTGAAACAAGTCGAAATATTTTTAAGCATGATTCAGCCGTTTTTTAATAACTTTGAAACTCCATTGTAGTCTTGTCATAGTTTCAGTATACTCAACTCGCAACACACCAACAGTCCTTAACTACACCAAGTAGAGTAAACTGTCCATATGGTCACCCAGGAGGGCATCTTCAGGGATGTACTGACAATAATTTTATCCATCCAGGTACATGACCTACATTAAATTTCCTGATTTGGATTGGCAGTGTGTTGCATTCAATACCAGATTTTTAGGATGTGTGCCATTTGTTCTGTCTGTATTCCTATACTTTGCTTGCATGGTGAATGAACCGTGGCCAGGTGATAAGCCCACGCGCGTGTGATAGCAGAAGTGTTAAAATCTGGATTCCAAACTACTACTCTGAAGTTGTTGGCCCTGGTCCTATAATAGTCATTCCCCAACGGTTATTGCGCATTTGAAGTGATCGGCTAGCTCTTCTTTTCTGTTGTTCTATTGGTAGGGTGAACTTCATTTGTGTGGGCTTTAAAAATGTATTTTTTCATCTCACCTGTACACTTTGGTGCTTCAGATGACCATTTCTCATCACTCTTGCAGACTGAAGTTGAAATACCAATGAGTGAGTATCCTTCATTGCAGGCGAAGACGGTAACACCATAAACACCATGAGAGGTTCTTCCAATGATTCCATTATCGGGTTCAGCAAGTGCTGAGCACTGGATTTCTGTTCAGGCAAAGGAAGAGTCACAGAAACTTCTAAGAAACTTGTTATACTTTGCGACTTTCACGGTCTTCGTAATTTTCACTCTGACAGGCACTAATAGGAAGATACAGTCATGTACTCGCTCCCCTACACCGGAGATTTACCCTTTCCTCGGATTAAACATGACGCTTGCGGACGCGAGAAGTCAGAAGGTCGAGAAGATCCGTTCACCAGCCGCCATAAACACAGAGGCTAACTTCTGCCCCAGGGTTGTTGTGAATATGTGTTTGGCAGTTTCCAGGCATTGGTTAGCTGAGTGCTTGGCGACATTGTAATGGGCTTGCGGCTGGGCACTTGACCAGTCAGCGCGGAGTCTCCCCCATGCTCTTTGTTTCTGTTTCTCAGGCTCAGTGATTTCTGCTCAACACCAAGAAGGGTTTTTAGTAGTTGGGTTCATTCTCTGCTGCTTAGACGGTATGTGTTGTGTGGCGGAGTTAGTCTCATTCTGCGCGTTGGTACCGACGGACAGTTATGGTCACTGGCGGTTCGTCTACCATGCTTACGTGGAAGTCCGCTAGAACACAGGCATGGTCAGAGTTTCCCAAAGGTGCTAAGGTGTTGACTGTTGTATCTCCCAGCAGGTCAGTCATTGGATTCAGGCCCATGTGGGATCATGCACGTGCTGATCCAAGCAATGAATTGCACAGATGTCATCAGTGTACGCACCTGCATGAGTTGTCTCATTGTTGCCGAGCCAATCCATGTTGTTTACATTTAAAATCTCCAGCCAATACCACACACCCGTACTGGCAAGATGTACGTGCCAGGTCGATGCCGGCACTGATGGCTTCTAGGGTACTGATGTCGTTGTGGCAGGAGCGAGAGCGATATGCAACGCACACAGAAATAGACTTCTTGTCCACAGATCTGACACTCAGCCACATTAGCTTCCCGTTCCTGACCTCGATGGCATCTAGTACCTGGAGGGCAAGACTGGCTTCAACCCAAACCGCAACTCTTCCTCCATAAACTTCAGTTGTTTGATCCTTCGGCAGTTGGGAGTAGTAGAAAAGCAAGAACAGTTCGGGATCCGTAGCCTTCTCAGGGGTTAGCTTGCTCTCCGTGACAATGGCAATGTCAGGTTAGCGAACGTGCACAGCAATGTGAAAATCGCCAAGTTTACTCAGTAGTCCAAATGTGTTCGTCAGCAGGATCCGAAAGGATCTAGTCGGAGCTTTGCGCTTGAGTGTTGGGGGACTCGGCTCGGAGAGGGCGTTACTTTGTGAGCAGGACAAACCCCTCTTCTGCCGCTCACTGAACCCGCGCACACAGTCGGTGAAAGGTGGCAATTTCAAGATCAGTCGCATCCATCTTCAAGCAGGCGGGCAACTTCCAATCTGCTATGGTGTGCATGCTGCACTGGTGGACCTTCACCGGTTTGCTCGCTGCTGCAGAGCGTTGCTCAGTGACTTCCTTGACACATTCTTCACGGCTACGTGATTTCAGATAGGCCACGTAGATTATGGCCTCCGGTATCGCAAATTGAGCTTCTTCTTGAAAAAGGAGGGCACCAAGGTCATCTCAAGCTGTTCGGGCGTATAACTAGTGTGAAGGGCAGGACCGCCATCAAGCACTCGCTATCTTGCAGCAGAGCAAGAGGGCTAGTGTGTGAAGCTCTGAAGCATATCGGCGTAAACCAAGACGGGCATATTTTACACAGTTTGGGGTCGGAAGGTGCATCCACGGCTGCTGCAGCAGGAGTACCAGATAGGCTCATTCACCGAGAGGGGGTATGGAGAAGTGATGCTATGAAGGCTTACATTCAGGAGTCCCTGCCCAATCTGCTGCATGTGTCCCAAGTGCTAGCTGTGTGACTCTGCTGCTATGCTTTAGCGTCCTTGCTGTGGATGTCCTCGCAGTTGTTTATACTATGATGAGTGTGCATGTGTGTGTGTATATATGTGTGTGTGGGGGGGGGGGGGTGTGCGCACCAATGCTCTTTAATTTGTACTTCTATGCCGTCGTTGCCAGTTGGAGGTCCAGTTGTCCGGACGCTGGCTTATCCTTTCGTTATAAAGTCCGGAGAGAGCTAGTTGGTGACCGAACGGCGAAGGGCAAGCTCTTGTCATCAACGGTCACGGAATCCAAGTTTGCTGACGATGCTGCACTTTACGCAACATCTCAGCCTGCCTTCTAAGCGATGACTTCCAACTTCATCACATCATGCGCAAGCAGCTGGGGCTTAACGGTCAGTGTGAGAAACACCTAGGGTATGGCTGTGGGTGAGTCTGCTGACAGCCGTGACGTTGTTGTAGGAAAAAGAACGATTGAGGTGTTGCACCAATTCACCTACCTTGGCAGTGTGCTCTCCTCGGATGGTCTTGCCTGTGCTGATGTCCGCTCACGCATTGCGAAATCCTCAGCTGTGCTGGGAGCCCTCCAAGCTCCCGTCTTTGATAACAAGACCCTGTCGCTTCGCAGCAAGACGCATGTGTATGAGGCTGTAGTCCTCACGACCCTCTTGTATGGTGCGGAGACGTGGACTACCAAGGCAGGCCACCTCCAGAAGCTAAACACGTTTCACCATCAGTGTGTTCGGTCCATCGTGGGTATCGGTCGTCGTCAACAGTGGAGTGATCGGATCACAACGGCCACATTAGCGGATTCATTCGCTGTTGACCCTAACATCACCAGCATCATCCGTCGCCACCGTCTTCGTTGGCTGGATCATGTCGGCAATATGGACGACTGCCGCGCAACGAAGCAATTGATGTTCGGCCAGCTGCCTGCCCCCCCCCCCCTTCCTCGTCACGGCCCAAAGAAGAGGTAGCGAGATGTGGTGTCAACTGAACTGGCGGACCTTAGCGTGGCCACCTGGCGTGACAACGGCCACATTAGCGGCTTCATTCGGTGTTGACCCTAACATCACCAGCATCATCCTTCGCCACCGTCTTCGTTGGCTGGGTCATGTCGGCAATATGGACGACTGCCGCGCACGGAAGCAATTGCTGTTCGGCCAGCTGCCTGCCCCCCCCCCCCCTTCCTCGTCACGGCCCAAAGAAGAGGTAGCGAGAGGTGGTGTCAACTGACCTGGCGGACCTTAGCGTGGCCACCTGGCGTGAGAGTTGCCAAGATCGTCCCGGCTGGAGTCAAGTTGCGAGTGGCGCTCCACGTCCACAGCCCACTCCTGATCCTATTCTCTGTCGCTGTTTGACGCCCGCTTTGTCGACCAGGAGACCTGAAGCGACATGCTAAGTTCTGCGCTCGTGTTCTCACTGGAACTTTCCGACATCCTCCATCAATGCGTACTCAATGGGCAAGATCAAGGTCGAGGTCAAAGTGTGTGTGTGTGTGTGTGTGTGTGTGTGTGTGTGTGTGTGTGTGTGTGTGTGTAGGTGTGTGTGTGTGTGTGTTTGATTGCAGGTGTGTACAATACTGACTTGTGAGTAAGAAAAGAAGTTTTCATTTCTTGTTGGCAGAGTTTTACGAAATATACAAGAAATGTTGTTCTTTTTGAACGAAGAGGTCTGGGACCGAGGTCCGGCAGTTTTATATTTATATTAAATTTTATTACAACATCTCAAGACTCGGTGGAAACACCGGCCAATGTTAAGAGAGTGGGTGATTGCCAACCACGGCGATAAATAAAAGTAAGGAGAGGGAAAAGAAAGAGTAGCAAAATCAACAGCAACAACAACTCCGTAAAGAAAGATAATGTCAAATAAAAACAGTGAAAAATACAGAGACGCAAAGGACATGTGGATAATGAGCTATTTATGTCGTAGTAAATAAGGGGTGGCACGGAACTTAAACAGGCGGAGTGAGGTCAGATCCTTAACTTCTCTGGGTAGAGTGAGCCAAACAGAATAAGCAATAAAGAGAGGGGAGCGCAAAAGAGTGGATGAGTTACACTTAGAGAGTAAAAGCGAATTTCTAGTTCTTAGAGAAGAGAACCAATTAAAACACATGAGAAGAGGTGGGCAAAACTCAATCTTAAAATAGAATGGACAAGAGCAGCCAGGTGTGCACTGCGTCCATGTGCTAACGGGGTTGTGTGAGCGATTTTATAAAGGGCGGATGATGAGAGCATATGAAGTTGATGGAGGAGAATTTTAAGGATTTTCGGGCCCACTGGTACGCCGCAGTTCCTTAACCTTTGTTTTCTTGCTTTGCAAGCTGATTTCGCACCCTTCGTCCCAATGAGGAGCTTTGTACGGTTTCACACACGGGTCTCAATATTGCTGCTACAATATAGGTTATAGTTGTACGATGCGTGAAATGTGCGGGTGCTCTGTCGATTGCTGTGCTTTTCTGTATGATTCCCCTTGCACAACGATGTCACTCTATGAGGTGTTGTTTGTCGCTAGATGTTTTTCTGTCTATGTGCTGGACACAAGAGTGCAACCAGCCTTGCTGTGGCTTACCCCGCAGTTGTTTATTCTGTAATGAGTGTGTGTGTCTGTGTGTGTGCGTGTGCGTGTGTGTGTGTGTGTGTGTGAGAGAGAGATTGTGTGTGTGTGTGTGTGTGCGTGTGTGAGTATGGGTGCAGGTGTGTATATACTTGTAGTACTGACTTGTGAGTGAGAAAAGAACACAACTTACTTTCACAAAACAAATTCGATGAAGCTGCTTACGATGTCCAAGCTCAGGCAGTCGTTATCACCGCTGAAAGTGATCAGGTCAACTGCAATTCTGTGATACTGAGCCAGCGTACCAGGTGCAACGGATGCACACACCGTGCTTAAGAGAGCATGTCTGAGAATACCAAAGTATGAGTGCAAGAGGACCTCTCCGATTTCACTCAAAATTTGCAGATTGGTTCCCTTTGGGGTGTGGATCGATTGTGCAAAGCCCTTGAAAAAGTTTCTGAAAGAACCTTGAAATTTGCATACCCTCAAAAACGGCCGAAATATCACGTTATTTATGGGTCTAGAAACGAGTCATGCAACAGCGTACACGAACAAGCTATGAACAGAACTCCAACAAGCCAACATTGCCTCACCTAAGAAGAGTTCCTGGAGCAGTACCGCTTAGCCACCCCCAGGATCCCAGAAGACGACGTCCATCACCTTTTGACGACACAAATGATCGTCTTGAAAATAGCCAATTTACAAGCGCTGGAAAAACAGCCAGCTACGTCCTCAATTGGCCAGAACTATACACCGCCAGATAGTAGAACACCTCTTTTGACGCTGAGGACATGTCCCCCATCTTCCTTTTGAGGTTTTCTTGAAATACACTTTTTTGAATTTTTCCACTCGACTGTGACTGCAAAAAAGACTGAAGGGATGAGCGCAATTCTTGAATTTTACTTCAAGAGACACGGTGAAATTACGTGCCTTGTGACGCAAGAATGCCAAGTCGCATGGATCACGGCTCACGAGATTTCAGAGTCCCCTTCGTCAAGTGCGCTTGTTAGTCAGGAAATACAGCTCATCTTACGACTGCCATCATGGTCTGTTCCAAGTAGCGTTCCAGGCACGTTCGTGATCGATGGCCGCGTGCCGTGATCCTGGAAGCGTCATCCTACGTCACAGAGCACGCGATCTCAGCGTGCATCTTGCAATCAAATTCAAAAACTGCGCTCATGCCTTCACTCACTTTTGCATCAACAGTCGCTCCAAAAATTATTGGTGTCGCAAGGAGAAGTTTGGAGTGACAAGTGATCACCGCTGCTTTTCCCTGTCAGAGGCAACAATACACTTTGCTCTGCGGCGTTGGTAGTAGTGTTGGAGTAGAAATTGCTGAGAAGATGTCACGGAGGGGTGAGCTTTGGCCGTATTTCAGCATGGTCGAGTGGAAAAATTCAAAAAGTGTATTTCAAGAAAACCCCAAAACGAAGATGGGGAACATATCGTCAGCGCTAGAAGAGGTGTTCTATTATCTGCCAGTGTATAGTTCTGGCCAGTTCAGGGCGTAGCTGGCTGTTTTGCCAGCGCTTGTAAATTAGCTATTTTCAAGATGATCATTTGTGGCGTTAGGGGGTGATGGACCTCGTCTTCTGGGATCCTGGCGTGGCTAAGCGGTACTGCTCCAGGAACTCTTTTAAGGTGAGGCAATGTTGGCTTGATGGAGTTTTGTTCATAGCTTATTCGTATACGCACAAGGCTAGAGTGTATGGCATCTCGGGAGACCTGCATCGGTAGCTCCAAGACTACCCCTGCAACCGCACACTTCAAGTCCTCATCTCCGGCCAGACATCAGCCAGACGCCCAGTTAAGGCTGGGGTGCCACAGAGCAGTATCCTGGGCCCCATCTTATTCTTGGTCTACGTCGACGACCTTGAAGACCATCTCCCAATCGGCTCCAACCTTGCCTCATTCGCCGACGACACAACCCTTTACGCCGAAATTGCAACGCTCGCTGCTGTTCCTGACAATGCTAGAGTAAACCAGGCTGCTGTTGACCTAGTATCCAGTTTGGGCTCGGATTGGAAAGTGCAGTTCGAGCCAGCCAAATCTCAGGCCCTTAAAATTTCCCACCATCGTCGGGACTGGCCAATACCCCCCCCCCATTGTCTTCAATGGAACTCCTGTCGAGGAGCAGCCCTCCATCAAAGTACTCGGCGGCACGTTTGACCATCAGCTAAAATTCAGCCAGCATATCCGAACCGTTGTAGTCAACTGAAACGACTGCAAACCACGCAAAACAGAGCCATCCGCTGTATCGATGGCAACCCGCCCCGGACAGCCATGCAGGCGCTGCTCACTGCTCACTCCCTGTACCGTGTCAGCGAGCTCTACAGGCAGAAAATATTGATCACCATCTGGCTGTGCATCCACGCCCGCACCAGCCCTGTGCTCGCCCAGCTTCTGACCCCGGCACAAGGCACCCCTACCCGCCATCAGCAGTCAAATGGCCTACTAAGCCAGGCAAACCGTAGCCGCCGCGGTCAGCGGAGATTTTCTGTTGCTGGTGCTTTGCTGTGGAACGCTCTCCCTGGTGAGGTCCGCACAATTACCCGGCTACCTGAGTTTAAGCATGCATGTGTACCATACGCCTGTAGGGAGTAGTTCGAGTTGCTGCTGATCGCTCTGCTCTCCCTCCCCGTGCAGTTCAGTAACCCGCACGTAGCATCACAGATACATCGTATTCTCGCTCTCCCCCCGTTTACCCGCAGTTATTAGTATCCTATTCTCTTACTATGTGCTTCCATAGCTTTTACTATGTTCTTCCATAGCCACTTCTAGGCTATGCCTTCGCCGTCATTTTATTGGGTCGTCATCCCGTTTGAATGTGCGAAGTGAAATAAAAACCAACCAACCAACCAACCATCTACTGCTTCCGTCTCCTCGTCCAACCACCAGGAGTTGTAGCGAGGTAACTGTGTGTTCTGATAGTTGGCAAAGCGGTCCACATCGTGTGGTCCCAGTTCTCTTTCTATCGTCCGGAAGATAGCTCAGTTCAGTGACCAGTTGCTGGGATCTCGTATTCGGCTGAGGCGATCCGCTTCGCAATTGTCTACTCCTGGGATGTGCTTTGCCAGGAGGGTTGTCTTGAGCCGCGACATTACGACGTTGATCCGACGAGTAACAGCCGTCAGAGCTTCTCGATTGCTCCCTGTACGAGAAATTCTTGTATGTGAGCCGTGATAAAGTCTCTTCTCTCCTTCGGCATTGACCTGTTGCCTTGGTGGAACGCTGGCTGGTACTGTTTGAATTTTATCGGGAAGCCGTTGCTCAACCAGTCCCGGATCATTGGCGATGCGCCGATCCTTGCCCATTCCGTTGTGTCCGTAATTATGACTGCGTACCGCGGGCTCTCCCTCTTCCTTGGTTGGGTCGATTGTAACTCCCACCGCGAGTGGGCTGTTGTCTCCCGTCGGGAGCGGAACCAGCTTGCGCACTTGCGTGGAGAACTTCACCTGATATGGCGATGAGGCGCCTGTTCTCGTCGGTGAATACATCGGACGTGCGCAGCTGCTACACAAGTCGTGTTTGTGCTGATTGCAAGCAGTCTGAGAACGCGAGATCTGTTCTTGCGTCCTGTAGTTCGGTAAGCTGCGCGAGCGCGACCGTCTCGATGCGCGAGCCTAAATCCTCTTCTCTGAGGTCGAGCTGACAAAGCTTGATAATGATTTGGCTGTATTTGGCGAAATCTGAAAGCTGTCCAGCTCGGGCGCCACTATCTCGTTGCAGTCCTGCCGCTGAGGAAGGAAACTCGAGTTGCTGTAGTAAGATGTCGTCTGGGGTCTTTCTCTGTATATGTCGAGAGACTATAGCGAGGGACCGTCGGTCAGTGGCTGCCCCAGTGAGGTGTTCACCAGATATGGTGAGTCCCACGCGGGAGGCCACGTTCGTCGTGGCTGTTCCGGGATGAACTACGGATGTGCCGAGTCGTCGTTCATCCTCCATGAAGTCTGCTTCGCGTTGGTTAGGCTTGGAACGTGAACCGGAGCGCCAACAATTGAAGTGGTGTTCTATCCGCACAACATTCCTTCTTAAACTCATAATTGCGCTTTACAGAATTCTCAGAATTCTCACCTTTTTACCGATTCTCTTAATCTACACCTTACTTTCTAGATCTCTAACATATCGTGGCCGGAGAGGTACCAATAAAGTTGAAGAAAGCAGAGGGCTGCTGTGCAGGTAACTGGTGTTATTTTAGTAATTGATAGTTACTGGACCCAAAGGAAAATGTCGCTCGAACTTGTCAGCGCAAACAAAGTCAATGACCTGTCCATCCTTTCTGCTGCGCGGAACTAAGCAGTGTAGTACCGGAAAAATGTGTGGTGAATTGATAGGAAACTCACCTTGACACTTTGGAGCATTAGATGACCAATTGCCATTGCTCATGCAGACTGACGACGAATTGCCTACGAGTGAGTATCCTTCGTCGCACGCGAATTCAGTGACACCCAGGAAAACGTGAGAGCTTCTGACAATGATTCCGTTAGCGGGTTCACCAATTTTTGGGCACTGGATCACTATTCAGGCAGAAAATTGCAAAGAAAAATGTAAACAAATGCAACACACGTTTCACTCTTCACGTACTGGGAAACACATGGATGTACCAAATATTTCGATTTACATCTTGTTGCAAAGGAAGGGAGACGGCCATAACCAAGCACACCAGAACATCTATCTGTTTTGAATATATATTTACTTCAGGGGCTCAACAGTACAATGTTATACTAAAAAGATGCTAAAAAAAACGATCATTAGGAGATAAAACGGAAAGAAGAAGGAGCAAACCAAAAATTAGATTATGGCCAGTAAGACGTGTACGGTTTCCCACAAAACGGACAAGCAGTAATGAGACGATACACGGAATGAACACGGGTCTTAAGAGGCACACATTTTGTGGGGTATGTTTCTATACGCCATTGCATCGTGGTCCTGCACATATTGTCATCGATACGCATATGCATCCACCAACGTTCTCCGCAGTTGACGCTTTCAGCGCATTCTGCCTATGTTGTATACCTAGGGACTGTGGGCACTGACACAGCAACTCAATACCTGGCTGGATGCATGGCAGCAAAGGAAATCGCAGTACCTGCCTGGTGTTGTGTACCCTCGCCACAAGTCAAATGCCACGGTGTACTCCTCAACGCGACAAGACCCACTCAGCATTATCTGTTGCAGACGTCAACTGCTCTGGCTGGGCCATGTTGTTCGCGAAGGACCTAACTCAGCGTCTTACCAAGCACTGGAGGTGGCAATTAATACCGGAACATCAAGCGGCCACGCGCCCGACCTCTTCTCAGATGGATTGACAATATTAAAATCCTATAAAGCAGGCTAATATTTATATTTCTGACACGTTTTTAACTGGCTCTAGACATGAAAAAATGGCTGATGCTTTTGGAAAATATGCTGCGCTTGCGTAGTTGTTCTAACTGCTATATGTTCTAGCAATATTTAGATGCCTTTTGTTGGCTCTTCCGCCTGGATTTCATTGACAGATGCGTTAAGCCCATGGATCCTTCTATGAGTGACATGGGAACTGTGACTGCAACTGTTGTTATTATTCTATTGATTAATTCAAAACATGGGATTCGAACTCGAGCTGCCACCCACATGCATTTCCTTGATAAACCTCGCACACATAAACATCCTACCAAAATTGCTTCACTTTGGGAACCCGATTTTTTAAAGACCTATTCGAATGTGTCATCAGCTTTCCTTTACATGAATATGATACGTGACATACACCAGTATAGTATGCTTGGGGTGGCTAAGCTTTGGTTTAACAAGAAAACAACCATCTTACCTTCTTCACACATTGGTGTTTTAGATGACCAGGTTCCATCCTCCTTACATATTGCAGCTCTTTGCCCTTTGAGTGCGTATCCGTCGTTGCACGCAAACTCGATGATGCCAAATAGCACTAGAGAACTTCTTACAACGGTACCATTCTTGGGTGGAGCAAGTTGGGAGCATCTAATTGCTGTTGAAAAGAGAAAAAAACATGAATCAGCTGTCAACTTTCTGATGGTGGTAGGTTTCCTATCCAAGTAAGATAGACATCGATCCCTTTTTTAGCCCATGCAAACCTCCTGTCGAGCACTTTGGGTGCAGCCGTCCCACTTACTAGCGAGCAGGCTGTATTCCCACGTGTGTTATTGGTCAAGGGGTGGCGACTGCCAACAGCATTCTGGATATGTCTAACAATGGCAATGATGATAGACGCATATATCCGGCAGTTACATCTGGCTGCGGGCAACTTCTCTTCGATTTGTGTGCTGGCGCCGTTTCTGTCTATGTCTTTGGTTGCGCCAGTATATAATGAGCAAGAAACTATAAATCTCAAGCTATTTATCAACACCATCATCAATACGGAATCCAAAAATAGTTCATAACCCAGTTTGGGACATTCTCATCACATTTATTATATGCAGTGTCACTGTGTGTCTCTAGTGTTTTAAAAGTTCAGTGACGCCGCCAAATGCAGGGTCACTGGCAGCTCTACTACTGGAGTCAACGTCTAATGTGTGTTCTCTTGATCGTGAATATGATTATTCTGTAAGCAACTACCTCGCTGCGAATGCTGATTGTGCTCGTCTGTATTCTGATAGCTGCTTCTCCGTTTCGTCACATGCCTGTGGTCGAGGTCTTGCCCATCTGAAGGTGTTAAAAGAAATTTTATTTACAATACACAGCCACCTTTGCGTACCAAAAAGAAAATGTACTGTTTTTCAAGTTCAACTGTAGCTTCCTGACACCCTCTTTCCATTAGTTAATGCCAGCGTCTATTTGGCGCTTGTTTTCAAACAGTTTGCCTGTTCGTTCCTCTTGTCTAGCTTTTCACGTTCTCGTTCTTTCGTACTTCTGTTACTTAACCCCCTCTACTTTGCGCATAAATTTTTCCCCGTATTTTTCACCACGTTGTAATGGTTTCCACCCATGTTATGCTACTCAGCGTTATGGTTCATTGGTTCTGTTTTCTTGTAATCCATTTAAAGAGAATGCCGGAAAACTGTTTGATGAATTTTGGAGTCCTCATTGATGATAATAGTAATGAATAGCTTGATTCAATGTATCAGTCGGGAAAGTAAACTGCCTGAAAAGAGAAAAAAGTGCCAGACTCACCAGGACTCGAACTCAGGACCTTGCCTGTCATGAGCAATGCTCTAACCACTGAGCTTTGGGACCAGGCTGAACCTAGAAGGCGCTGACAAGTTTTTCACTCCAAAGGCAGCTCACAACATGGTCCACACATAGTGATGGCACTTGGTTCTTTTTCCTTCCCTCAGGGGACCAACCACGGTCAGTTTCTGGACCTGACCAGAAAGGAAAGAAAGTGATCATTTTTTTGAAAGGATTGGGAGAACTTGAAAATGAAATTATCAGTCGGTGAAGTGAACCTCCTGAAAAAAAAAAAAATTCCAGACCCACCAGGGCTTGTACCTGGGGACCTTGCTTGCTTGTCATGCAGCAATTCTTTAATCACATGTTGTGAGCTGCATTTTGAGGGAAAAACTTGTCAGCGCCTTCTAGGTTCAGCCGGGAACACGACAGGTCACCGCGAGACAGCTCACAGCGCGACAACTCACAGCCGACAGCTCACAGTGTCGTCAACTCACAGCCAAGACAACTCACAGCGCGACAACTTACAGCCTCGTCAACTCACAGTGTCGTCAACTCACAGCCTCGTCAACTCACAGTGTCGTCAACTCACAGCGAGACAAGTCACAGCCAAGACAACTCACAGCCACACCAACTCACAGCACGACAATTCACAGCCACACCAGCTTTATATATATAATAGCAGTGTGGTTACTTTTCATTGATTGGCTGCTTCTGATATCACCCTGATGCCACTGCTGGAACATGCTCTGGCTATAAAAGCTCACAGTTGAACTTGAACAGAAAAAGATCGTTTTTGGTCATGGATGCGAGTGTCATGGTGAGATCACTATACCATGGATTCTTTACCAGATTACGTTACGAAAACGCAGCGAGGACGAGAGAAAGTAGTCTTTCGTGGATGTGCCTACGTGAAAGATAAAGACGGGCCCAGAGACATCAGTTACTGGAGGTGTGAGCGGAAGGACGAGCTCCATTGTAAAGGGAGAGCGAAGATGTCGGACAGGAGAATAGTGGCCTTGGTCGGTGACCACAACCATCCCGCAGAGGCTGAGAGGCAGGACTTCGCATGACCATCCATCTGCTTCATCAAATTCATTACCCCCTGTTTCCTCATCGTCCTCACCACTCTCCGTTTCATCGTCGTTCGTCACATTGTCATCCGTCTCATCATCCCTGTCAGCCAGTCGTTTGAGACCAGGACAAAGGATGAGTTTCTACGAGGAGTTGCTGCGAACTTGGCATTTCATATAATTATGTGATTCTTACAGGAAAGTAGCATTGCAAAATTACTGAATTACTCTTTGCTACTGCCAGTTTCATCATTGACCCGGTATTCGAATACTTGTAACACAATTCTTCATTACCATTAGCAATAACAATTATAATATTAAAATCAACTACAAAACGTGTTTTGTCTACGCATGCATCTACGCAAGAATCACCACCAGTCAATTAGGACATGTGTCAAAAGTATTGAATGTTTTCGTTCCCTTCTTCTCAAAATACTACAGGGAATGATGGAAATAAGCTAAACGACTACAACTATAAGGAAAAGAAGTTCAGAAATACATCACTCCAATTATGTCACTTCTACACATAATTGGAGTGATGTATTTCTGAACTTCTTTTCCTTATAGTTGTAGTCGTTTAGCTTATTTCCATCATTCCCTGTAGTATTTTGAGAAGAAGGGAACGAAAACATTCAATACTTTTGACACATGTCCTAATTGGCTGGTGGTGATTCTTGCGTAGATGCATGCGTAGACAATACATTTTTGTAATATTTTCTGCTTCCGTCCTAGTTTCAAATATCAACTACATTCTTCATTCTGTTTTATCCGGGAAATCATTGAAGGTTCTTACTTATTGTTGGAAACATTTGTATCGGTTATTATTTCTCGATTAAAAAATAGGAAAGCTGCGAGTTGCCTCGCTGTGAGTTGCCTCGCTGTGAGTTGTCGACACTGTGATTTGACGACACTGTGAGTTGACTACACTGTGAGTTGTCGCGCAGTGAGTTGTCTAGGTTGTGAGTTGTCTTGACTGTGAGTTGACGACACTGTGAGTTGTCTCGCTGTGAGTTGTCTCGCTGTGAGTTGGCGCGCTGTGAGCTGTCTCGCTGTGACCTGTCGTAGACCCAGCCTTGTCCCATAGCTCAGTGGTTAGAGCATTGCTCATGACAAGCAAGGCCCCCGGTTCGCGTCCTGGTGGATCTGGCAACTTTTTTCTCTTTTAAGGCTGTTAATTTCCCCGACTGATACTTTGAATTTGAAGTCCTCCCAATCTTTCAATAAATTAATCACTTTCTTTCACTTCTGGTAGGGTCCAGAAACTGACCATGGTTGGCCCCTTGGGAGAGGGAAAAAGACTCAAGTGTCATCAGTATGTGTGGCACGTGTTGTGAGCTGCCTTTGGAGTGAAAAACATGTCAGGGCCTTCTAGGTTCATCCTGGTCCCATAGCTTAGTGGTTAGAGCATTGGTCATGGCAAGCAAGATCCCGGGTTCGAGTCCTGGTGCGTCTGGTAATGTTTTCTCTTTTCAGGCAGCTCACTTCCCCGACTGATACTTTGTAGTTCTCCCAATTCTTTTAAAGAAAAGCTTGATATTTGTTGTTTTCCGTCCCTCATTTCTCCCTCTCTCTAAGAAAGTTATTTCAGAGCAATTGTACAAATATTGCGAGTAGGTGAGGTCAAATAAGCAGGACTAGAAAGAAAGAGGATACTCTTTAGGGCATGGCTGCTAAAGTTCTGAGGCTGCTTCATAATTTTGTTTAGGCATATAACACACAGAAGGACAAACTACGGACAACAGGTAACATTTTGGTCCTTTCTTCCTAAGAGCAAGCTGCACATCTTATCAGTGAATTGGGGCATACTGGTCAACCTGCTTCCATTACCCATACACCTGACAGCTGATTTTCCTACAAGTTCAAATCCTTCCCAGCTTGCACAGACCAAGACGCCTGGAGAGCTTTCTATAGCCATGCAAAATCTTAGTACAGGAAATGCGGTATAGTGAGACTAAGGGGGGGGGGGGGCGTTCTTAAATTCTCTAGCTTCTAGGAGAAGAAGAAAAGAGAAGTCGAAGAAACGGGGATTCTTCAAGAACGGGTCTCGAAGAATTCGGAGATATTTTGCAGCTGTCAAGCAAAATGAAGCACCAAAGGGGCCGCGATCTTGAGTGCCACGAAAACATGTAAAGTATGCGCTGTGCGTATGCGAAAAGGGAAATGATCAACACGTGGCTTTTAGCCTAGTTCGCATGCGCTGATCCCAAACCACGGGAATCTCCAAGTTTCAACCCCCTCTGAAGCTTGGAGAGCTTGGAGAGCTTTGGAGAGCCTCCTAAAATTCGGAGAGGATATAAGAACAGCTCTAGAACTTTTCGGAGAGTCTCCCACTCTTTCGAGAGGATTTAAGAACGCACCCTAAGTGTCAGGTCGCTTAGACAATGTAGGTCTCAGTACTCCTAACTGTTAGTCAGTTGTGTGCCTTTTTGTCCCATACGCGGACTGTGTATGATCTGGTTACGTTGGTTAACATTTTGGCCTTCGCCTTTGTACTAAATAACTTATCGCTACGAAAGTGGTGGACATCACGCAACTGCGTTTTAAGGAAAAGGGGGTTTGTCAACTGACAACGGCTCTATTCAGTTGCTATTCACACTCGCCCTAAGGCCCTGGATGGTAAACTTTTAATTTCTGATGTCTAAAAATGATAAAGTCAGCGATTACATTGCATGATATTGACAAGCGGTAGTGACCAATGTTCCTTTTTTTCCTATACTTTAATCCTTGCAGTGAATGGGATTTCGGTCTTTGACCACTTTGTGGTGGGTCTGATCTACTCACCTCCCAC